GGAGAGGGCAGGGTCAGGTGGGCTGGGTGAGTGAGCAGGGGGAGTTCGAGGCCCGGATGGGGAGGTGACTGATGCCCGAGATCAAAGCCGGGGAGATGAAGGCTTGCCGCCAAGTCCCAAGGCCAGAGGCCGAGTGGAAAAGTGGACACAGAGCCAAGGTCAGGAGCCAGCAGAACTGGAAACATGGAAACAGGCCAGGGAATGAAACCAGGCCCAGCATGGCGGCTGCTGAGAACGAGCCAGCACCAAGCCCAGCCTCACTGGCTCCCAGCCTAGGCTCACTCTCAGAACCGCCATGGCAGTGAGGAAGAAGCAAAACCCTGGTTTCCCAGGGGCCACCTCCAGGCACCCCAGGTGGTACACAAGACTGTGCAGCTGTGTGCTTTCTGAGCTTGCGAGAGGGGGTGGACTGTGGGCTCTGGTCACTCTCACCACAATCTCGGTGGCCTCTCCTCAGTCCGTCCTGAGGGTCTTGGCCACTAACCCAAGGAACACAATGCTGGGCTCACCACCGAGCCACTGGCCCACTTCAGTGTCACTGAGAAAACAATGAAGGACTGGCACAGGGAGAGGACGGATCAGAAGGGGAGTGTGGTGCATCCCAATGGGGACCCCAGGGGCCTGAATCTTTTCTCTCCTTTTTTAAAAAAAGAATTATTTATTCATTTATTTTAATTTGACCAGAGAGAGACACACAGAGAGAGAGAAAGCACGAAAGCAAGCCACCAGGTCTGGGACTCGAACCACGGTTGGCCATGTGGGAGTATCCAGCACCTTAACCACCACGCCACCTGCTGGCCCCAAGGGGGTCAGAATCTTAATGTGAGGTTTGCCTGCTTTATCAGAATCTGTCTGGTTTTAGGGAAAAAGCAAACCATTCCGGCCCCTCTCCATCGCCGAGCTCTGAGACGTGATGGTATCAGGGTGGCCCATGTCACAGTGTCGCAGACTCGGAGGGTGAGCAGATAGAAGAGGGCCGGGAAGGGGAGGGAGGGACTGTGGGCCTTCATCGGGGTGGGTGATCGGGGCCATTCTGGGACCGGGTGCCTGCTAGCCTTGCAGTCTCTGGGCTATTTTGTCCTTGTCTCCGGCTGTCATGTCCGGTTACTTTGATCTGCCATCTGTTTGGTTCGTTGTTAGTTTGAGGAGTCAGCAATGCCGGGGGTGGACGCGTAAAAAAACAAGTGTCTCTTTCCGTGTCTCTCTCCGGCAAGCGGAGAGGAATTCGAGAATAAAGAAGAGCCGCGCGCTGGGCGGCGCGGACCGCTCCCGGCACCACGCCGGC